GAGGCTTGCACCCGAGGGCTAATTGCCGTGTCTGCAGTTGCTATGGTAGCAAAGGTAAACAATGTATACCGGGTAATGTATCACCGTGGTGATAAACTCAGAGCAGCTTTTAAGAGTTGTAAAAGAGGTAGTTTAACAGCATGTTGGGGGAAAACTGAGGACATGGACGCTAGAATACAGAACAAGTGGTCGGAATCCTTCATGTGCTATTAATTACGTTGATATGATTGGTTTATAGTGAATGTCTGCATGAACAGATTCTTTCACAAACTCGAGATCATCTTGTGGTGAGATCACATCAGCCATGGGGCCAGATTGCTCTTAAAGTAGGGGGGAAATGGTCCCTTCCCCACTTTCTCTTATGTCCAAACTTGTCCTAAACTCTGTCTTTCATTTAATCTAAACTGCTTTAAAGTCTTGTGACACCAAATCAGGCCATGGCATAGAGTTAAGTAAAAAGGCCAATGACCCAATCACACCCCTTTCTTGGACCACGCCCATCTTTGAACTGGACCTTCATTTGAATCTCAACACATGTGTGAAGTTTTCTGTACGGTTACAGTGATCCACATCAAGACAAACACTTGGAATATTACTCAAAAGGACTTCTGTGGTTCATCCTTCCCCAGGAGCAGATTTTTCTATGATGACACACAGACTCACAAGATGTAACAAATATCAGTGGTTCTGTCCCTGCTGGTAATACCCACAACATAGGGTTAGGCCGGGGTTATTACTCTAGGATGCAGCCAAAGACAAATTGTACCATTATTTGGCATTTAGCAGGTGTTAATATGGATTTGAATGGTAATATTCAACCAAGTCCCCCCCTAACCCCCTCAATCTCCCCCTCCCCTGCTGGCCTTCTAATGAAAGACAATCACATCATTGAGCAGAAAAAGATGCATATGAAGGTCTGCATTCCAGGACTCCAGCAAGCAGACCCGCTCACCCTCCAACATTCCATCCACAAAACCTGTCAACATCCACCATCAAGACCTTGACAATCAACATGAGACTCCAAGTAATTACATTATTATTACTCCCTCTTATTCTCCTGTATTCACTATGTCTGTTCTATTTTCCATCTGTGCTTGGTTTCATTTTCACATGCTATTGGCATTTCCTTTCAGAGTTTTTCTCAACTATTCTATTCAATTTGACTCACTTCCTGTCTCATTCTCGACATATGCTGATGGTGTGCTGAGCTTTTCTATAGAGTCTCCGTTGTTCATTCATTTAAATTCTCATTTGTGATTCCACTTATTAAATGATAAGCGTACTATCCCCCCAAATGCATGACGACAGAGATACATTCTCCTGTACGCAAAAATACGACGTCTACCCTGTTCAATTTGTTGACATTTCAAATCCACATAAATAAATGGTAAAAACATTTAACAGAATGTTCCATGGGCTACTTAGTGTAGAATGTCCACATCCTGGTCAGAGGTTTACAGGCCTTGCTGGTTCAATTCCTTTAAGACAAAGGGACAGGAGAACAGCAAGCAAAAGTGCACCTATGACTGACACACAGATTAAGTGGATAAGCAATTTGGTATTGCTCAACCTGCACTGAGAAATTCACACAATTTAACATAGGGCTGCTCAATTAATCGTATTTGAATCGCAATTACGATGTTGGCTTTTTTTTTTTTTATTATTTAAAAAAACATTTTTTATTGGTTTTTCAGTTGAATTATACTTAAAGTTCAAAGGTAGTAAACTATTAAAAACATATTGTTCACATTTAGTTTTAATAAATGGATCTTTTCAAAGTAAATGGATAATCGTTTTTAATAATCGTGATATCAATTATTCACCCAAATAATCGAGATTATGATTTTTGCCATAATCGAGCAGCCCTAATTTAACATACCACTTCCCTGGCTGCTACACATATTTATACTTTGGGTCCATCTTGCCAAAACACCTTAAATAGCTCAGATACTGTACTGAGTTTTAGAGACAACAAAAATAGGGATATATTTTGAGCCAGAATTGCCTTTTCTGTTCTTCTTCTTCTAGTGTTTGTGTTTATGCTTCTTCACTTGTACTCTTCGCAGCCGGTGTGGATGTAAAGACAAATAAATACAGTTTATGGAGGCGGGCCCCCGTTCATCCCATAAAAGTAGCTCAGTGGAGTAAAAAGAGCAAATGGCAAACTTGGGTTGTCCTTTATTATTATCCACATTTTACAACCTTAAGGACCTACTGAGTTCAATCAGTGGTATTCAAGTATTTGTACTGGGTAGTTGATTAACCTGAAGAAAAATGTATCCGCTGATTTACAGAGGTCTCTTTCCTAATGTAAGTCAATGGGAAAAGGTCTTTCTGGGCCCAATGATACGGATGTTATAGTACCACCGTTTGGTCACCACAAAGATGTGCTTCAACGCCTACTCACTTCAATGGGGCTTGGCAGCCGTTGTCTGTACTCAAATATTGTTAGAAGCATCGCTCTGTAACACCAACGTGTAATCATGGGTGGACTTAGTGATTATGTAGTCCTAACAGAGGGACACAGATTCTGAATGGGAGCAATCGGTATCTAATACAAACCAGTTTAAATTTTTGACATATAAACAGCACCTCTGTTTGATTGTAAACCTAGCTGGCTAAGGCAGATAAACACAAACACACACACACACACACACACACACACACACACACACACACACACACACACACACACACACACCGTGTCGCTGTAAAAAGCACGACCAATCATTTTAGCCGGCCCGGCTAAAATAACTGGATGGCCTACCTGTCTGTCAGCCTTCCATCTGTGCACAAACTTATCTCGTGCCCTCATTGGTCATGTGCTCCTTCGTGTGTGTTGGAGGAGGGGCTCTGTAAGGAAGTAGCAAATTTCTTCCGGCTGTGTATTTTCAAATTCTAGCGCACTCGAGCTGGTTCCTCCAAAATTACCTACCCCACCTTTAACATCTGCTGCCTCAAAAAGCACACATCAGAAGACTAAGGAAATGATTTGTTGAGTGAATTAACACTGATGTATAGTGCAGTGAATCTCAAGGTAACACAGAATAAGACAGAACAGCCCATTATAACATTGGCATATAATTCTGCAATAAATGTAACTAAAGAGGAAAAAATAGTGTGAAACTCCCTCTGGAGGAAGCTTTGGGATTTGGAACACATTACAGGAAAGGTAAAAATAATAGGGCCCCTTTAAAACACACTAATGATGACATTATTTATTGATGTGTTTGTTTTATCGACAGAAATCATTGGCAACTATTTGGATAATATAACAATATGCGTCATTGCCGACACATAGACATTTCAAGACACATGCTTGGGTTAACAATTAACACATTCAACAATTATTTTTTTTATAGAATCACAATTCATCAATGATTGCCAGTGTCACGATGATATCTCAAAACAAACCTTTCCACGGAAGGCAAATCTGCATTATTTCAACAACATTTAACGTGACCTCGAAGGACTTTTCGTTTTCAAAGCAATCCAAGCACAATTAAAACATCTTTAAAGTCACACTGGGTTACCGAAAGTTGATACATTCGGTTTTTGCACTACTATTTACGCTGCTTGGTGGAAATACCATTTACTGCCAGGCCATAAGGCATCATTAAAGAACCTGTGGTGCAGGTTTATCATTTGCAGTTCAACCAAGGTCTCTAAGTGACTTTAAAAAGGAGACAAAGTAAGAACCATTTGTTTTGTAGCCATACCTGGATGACAAATTAAGTAAGGGTTATATTTTATTCACAACTGGAATGTCCTTGTGACTCTTGAGACTTCAATTGTCACATTTCAGCAGTCATGTGACTTTAGAATTTTAATGGCATTTCTTCCAACATATTTTCCCCTCGAGGCTCAAACCTTGAGTTAGACTTCTGCAAAACACTAACCATGCTGAATCATGCCGCCTAAACAAGTCGTAGTTATAATTTAAAAGAAATGAAAATGTGTGATGACCTTTGCATTTTGTGGAGGATATTGTGATGCTAGCAGTTAACAAAGGAAAACCACTAACGACTGAAACTTTGAACAGCCAGTGTGAATGTGTGAAAATGTGTCTGGCTGTTGTAAGGGTCTAACTACATATATAACTTTCACACCTGCCAACATGTCAGACACCACATGTGCAGAATGCTATCTAAGTACAATATGTGAAAGACAAAAAAAGTCTGAAAGTCCATATTTTTTATGACTTATATCAGTGACTGAAGCCCTATAGATGTGAAAGAAGAACAGAAAAATGCAATTGTGTAAACTTTGAATACTGATATACACCCACACACAATGCATGAGAGGGTAAGCCATGTAAATGTGAAATCTGTCGGCATGAGATTTATGCAAACTTGCTGTTGTCTCCCTCCTCACACACAGGGAAACACACAGAGACAGAGAGAGCTCAATTAGATGGGGATTCACCTTACAACAAATGATGGGAAGCTTCTGTTTTCAAATCTGCACAATTTTTTGAGCTCTCAATCCTTGGGATAAAACAGTCTCGCTCTCTCTCTCTCTCTCTCTCACACACACACACACACACACACACACACACACACACACACACACACACACACACACACACACACACACACACACACACACACACACACACACACAAAACCATATAATATATTGGAACCAGTACTGGAATGGGCCAATCTGCACTTTTACATTTGGTACTCGAAGTATATTTTTGATGCTAATACTTTTCTTCTTTTACTTGAGTGACATTTTGAATGCAGGACTTTACGTGTAACAGAGTAGGCTATTCCTACACTCTGGTAGTTCTACTTTTACAAGATACTTCTTCCACCTCTGGTGCAGGGCTACAGCCTTGACTTGACGCCATATTCGTGGTAGAAAGACCTTAATGTTTTTACAAAATGTGTCATTTTGTAAAAACATTAAGCCACCTGTCAGTTTCTTACACACCCTGACGACCCTCCTGTTAACAGGTATTTTCTCTATGTCATATGTCTCTGGTCAGACCCTACCTGTGCCTCCTCGGTGCCACTGTCCCTGTCCAGCTCCCCGATATAGTACTGCTCCATCCATCGCCGTGCGTTCTCCGAGTGCCGGTGTGGGGGTCCTTCCATCTCCCCGCTTACGTCCTTCCCTGACCTCCGGAGTATCAGCGCCTCCCCGCCCGGGTGCATCCGCAAGAAAGAGGTCACGTCGTAGACCCTGGTCCCCAGACGCACCCAGCAGGAGTCCTTGGAGCAGTGGCGGGCCACCTCCCTCTCCGTGAAGAACCGTGGGGACGTGGAGGGAGACATATTGATAAAAAATAAAATGCAGAAAAGTGAATACAGGGAGGGGAGCAGAAATACCTCCTCGGGGGACCGTGAACCTGACTGCTGACTGAGAGTTCAACTTCACCGCTGACACCCAGGGGCAGTAAACTCTTAACTATTCTCCACAGGACAGCAGCGAGAGGCGGGGACTCTGAGGCGTTCAAATAAATACTCGGTAAACAGCCTAGATTTAGTAATAATCGCAGCAGCCTACAGGTGTTTCAAAACTTGAAACGCCTCCCTGGGGGTGGTTTTTGTTGCTTATACAAGCTTTAGACAACGGTTTGTTGTCTCCTAGCACCAGTTCTATGTAAGACTACCACAATTACCGATTCTTACAAGTTCCCTGAAGGCATCCAGACGCACCTGTTGCTCTGAAAACACTCTTCGCGCGACAATAAAGATAACTTCTCAAGGCTGATGTGTAAAGCAAACATAAAACTATTTTATTTTTTAATTACATTTTATTTTAAATACTTTAACGTAGGTTATTTCAAATAAAGATCATTATGGACCTCAAATAAACAGTGACATAACATGTCATATAATCCGTCATCACTTCCTAATCGATAACATGGTCCATGACCATAATGAGTTTACCTAGCTACTATGAGGCATTAAATGTCTAAAATATAAGCCCAGATACATCTAAATAACGACTGCACCTAACGTAAATCTGTCACTGTGTTCTCTACTGCAGTTTCTCAATATAGAGACAGAATTATATTTCACCAAATCTAAAAAAACGGGTTCATGTATCATCTCCAAAAAAGGTCAATTAAAATAAAGATTGTCGATAAAATGTTAATGTTTTTTGTCTCCTTTTATTTATTCCTTAAACAGAGGGGGTTTGTTTACAGAGGGTGTGTCTTTGTTTACACATCTGTACCGTGCGTTATCTTCCGAACAGATGAGCTCTGGTGCCTTCACGTAGTGTCGGAAAAAAATCCATAAAGAAAAATATTTTTCTAATTTACTAACATGTGTTGTCTAAGGGGCAGAGCGTGAATGCAGCTGGGTCATTCCTAGTATTCGGTGCCATTTAGGTCCCCACCACATTATATCATATATTTTGTATTTAAAAGGTCTAATGCTTATTTTTTAAAAGCTTGGTTTTAAATGTTTATACCCTCTACCATAAAACAACAATGTTATTTAGCCAGGATATTAAAAATTCTAAATAATTACTCTGATTTTACCACAAGTAGGCCAAATTGCTGTGTCCCCAATCATGTTTGCTCAACTTCTTTAACAGATATACAAAAAGAAATACAAACAAATTCTAAATTTTTGTGAGTGTTGTATGACCCTTTTGCTAATATTCCTCACCAAATTGAAATTGTTGTTATTAATTAATTTGTATTGAAAATAAAGTGTGTGTCCCCTGTTTGAATGTCCCCCATGTTACTCTGATTTGAATCCCTCTGGACACGCCCCTTTACTATTCTACTATTTGTATGACTCAAGAAGAAGAAGGATACATTTTGAGTGGGAAATCATCTTCAAGAAGCAGAGTGAATGCGTTCTTCCTTCAACGTTTTTCTAATGTTTTAAAGAACTTAACTATTGCGGTAAAGCATTAAATGTCCACCCTGTTATGCTCATTTTTAGTGGAACTGATCATTTGTTTTACATTTAGAAAATGGAAAATAATGTTTTTTATTTTTGAATATATAGCTGAAATGGCACCGAATGCTAGGAATGACCCGTGTACTTTCCCCTCCATAATGCATGTTTTTCTGCTATCTTTGATGAATGATAAAAATATAATTTTACCATTAGTTCTTAATGAAATTGATACTGTTTGACTTTGGATTAGTTAACCTACTACTTACAATACATTGAAGTACTTTTACTGTGTATTTTTTGAGAAATACTCTGTCAAAGTCCCCTGCTGAGAACAAAATCAAGCCACTTCTGCTAAGTTTGATGAGGGAATTCTTTTTTGTTGTCATTAGTTCTTCGTGAGATTGATCCTCACACACACACACACACACACACACACACACACA